GCTCCTGGCACAGGAGGGCCCTGAGTGGGCCAGCCTCCCTCCACCGCCCAGGGCCCCCGCCAGCTCCAGTGGAAAAGGCTCCGGCTCGCCAAACCAGGGCTCTCGAAACACCCTACTTTGGGAACCCGCCCTGAATAAGTTGTCAGATGCAGCCAACCTTTCTGTGCAAATCGATTTAACGCAGCAGCCGATGTAATAGCAGACATTTAGGATGAATGTAAGCATTGAGCAGAAGGAAACGGGTTGGATAAATCTAGGCCTTGGAAGGTGCCGTGAACATAGAGCTCTGAAATACAGATTTGTGGGCGTTCACGTTTGCTGAATGAAGGAGGCGCAGCTACAGGGGGGGTCCAGGATATCAATCCACGAAAAACCACCAATGCCAGCAGCGTGAGCAGGTTTTTCCTGACGGTGGGGTGATCAGCGCTGCTTTTCCTCTTAATTGATGGCTCTTATTGCCTGTGGTGAGCATGTCGATAAGCGATAGAAGTTAAAAAAAAAAATAAGAATAGCCCTGACCAGTTTGGCTCAGTGGATAGAGCGTCGGCCTGCGGACTGAAGGGTCCCAGGTTCGATTCCGGCCAAGGGCATGTACCTGGGTTGCGGGCACATCCCCAGTAGGGGGCGTGCAAGAGGCAGCTGATCGATGTTTCTAACTCTCTATCCCTCTCCCTTCCTCTCTGTAAAAAATCAATAAAATATATTTAAAAAAAAATAAGAATAGAAGTAGAGAGCCAAACACGTAAAGCCCTAGCAACCCCAGCCTCAGCCCTCTCACTCCCTTCTCCACTTTCTAACACTTAGTTGGAGATACTTCTAGATGTGTGTGTGGGTTTTTCCCCCCCCATCCACTGGGTATTGCTTTTGTTTTATTTATTTTTAAATATATTTTTATTGATTTCAGAGAGGAAGGGAGAGGGAGAGAGAGATAGAAACATCAATGATGAGAGAATCATTGATAGGCTGCCTCCTGCACACCCCCTACCGGGGTTTGAGCACGCAACCCAGGCATGTGCTCTTAACCAGAATCGAACCTGAGACCCTTCAGGCCGCAGGCTGATGCTCTATCCACTGAGCCACACTGGCCAGGGCCACTGGGCATTGCCTGTAAAACTCACATGTGCAGCCCCGGCCGGTGTGGCCCTGGTGGTGGAGGGCACCAGGAGGCTGCAGGTTCTATTCCTGGTCAGGGCACATGCCCGGGTTGTGGGCTTGATCCCCAGTAAGGGGGTGCAGGAGGGAGCCCATTGATGTTTCTCTCTCTCCCCCCCTTCCTTTCTCTAACAAAATCAACAAAAACATTTTTAAAAACTTCCATGTACAATCAGAAAAGTCATGGGGTAAGGGGAGGAAACAGAACAAAAGACTTTAAAGTGAATTTTGACGTCATAGAAAATGAGCAACATAGAATGTCTTTACAAAGCGAGTAGCTCTGTAGCTCTGTGTAAGGACGAGGACGCAGGGCTCAGGGCCGCTGGGGGGCCTGCCAAGCTCACAGCGTGTGTGATTGGCTCCTGACACCCAGTCCCGCTCTGTCCCCGCATCCTCGGGCTCCTGGACGAGGCAGAGGCTGGGCTGGGGGGAGCCTGGAGGATGCTCTGGGCTGGGGGGGCTGGGCCCGGTGAGGAGCCTTCTGGCTGCTTGTTCTGGGGACCTGGGAAGAGGGGACCAAAGTCCCCATTTATGGCCTTGGGGGAGTTAATGTGTAATATTCGAGGAGATAAGCTGGAGGTGAGATCCTGAGCCCAGGCCTCCAGGCACTGCAAGTGCCTTGGGCTTCTCCGCCATCCACACCTTCACCTGAATGGGGAGGAGGAGGGGGTTGCGAGAGGAAAGTGCCACTGTCTCTCTCCAGGCCTCAGTTGCCCCGTCTGGATGGTGAGGAAGTTGGGCAGATGGTCTCCTAGCCCTTCAGCATCCAGGCTCTGCCTCTTCCACCACCGCGCTCAGCCTGTCTCTTCCCCTCTCTGGCCTTAGTGTGCTCATCAGGAATACATTTCTTTTAAAAATATCTTTTTATTGATTTCAGAGCAGAAGGGAGAGGGAGAGAGAGATAGAAACATCAATGATGAGAGAGAATCATTGATTGGCTGCCTCCTGCATGCCCCCTACTGGGGACCAAGCCTGCAACCCAGGCATGTGCCCTTGACTGGAATCAATCCAAACCTGGGACCCTTCAGTCAGCAGGCCAACGCTCTATCCACTGAGCCAAACCAGCTAGATCCAGTAATACATCTTTTCATTTTCTTTTTTTAAATTTTATTTATTGATTTGAGGGGGGGTGAAGGGAAGAGAGAGAGAGAGAGAGAGAGAGAGAGAGAGAGAGAGATTTGTTGTTCCACTTATCCATTTATGCATTCATTGGTTGCTCCTTGTTTGTGCCCTGACAGGAACCGAACCTGCAACCTTGGCATACCAGGACGATGCTCTAACCAACTGAGCTACCTGGCTAGGGCTGCTCATCAGTCGTATTAATAGCAGTGACAATAATAACTGCTCACATCCGTTGAGCTTTATAAAGACGAAGACACGGAGGCTCGGAGAGTAGATTGTCCAAGGTTATAATCTGTCAATCGCAGGGGGTGAGTGGAGGAACAGTGAGGCTCCCGATCCTTTGATTTCAAGCCTGGCGGTGCCTTAGTTTGCTGTGTGGCCTGGATGAGTCACTGCCCTCTCTGAGCTGCAGAACCCTGTGTTTGGGGACTCGGATCGCAGACCTCCCCTTCTGAGCACTGGGTGGTGTGTCGGTTTCCCTGTCGGCCAGAACAAATGTCTTCTTTTACCGTTTTGGAGGCCGGAGGTCTGACGCGGAGGTGTGGGCAGGGCCGCGCTCGCCCTGAGGTCTCTAGAGGCGGACCCTTCTGATCTCTTCCAGCTTCTGGTGGGGGCGTCCTTGGCTTGTGGCTAAGCCCTTAGTCTGTGCCTCCGTCTTCACGTGGCTTTCTCCTCCGCCTGTGTTTCTGGCTCCAAATTTCCCTCCTTCTATAAGGTCACCAGTCCTATTGGACTTAAGGCCCCCCCTAGCCAATCGCACTTGATCTTAACCTGCTTATATCAGCAAAGACCCAATTTCCAAATAGGCTCCGTTCACAGGGTCCAGCTGGACCTGATTTTGGGGAAACCCATTCAAGCCAGTACAGGTGGGATGAGAGTGTGGTGTGATGGAGGGTCCCGGGCGGGAGGGATGCTCTCTGCCTCTCAGGGAGGACCCTCGGGCTCAGATGCTTTCCCAACTTTCTTCTTCTCCTAGTCATCTCACCTCCCACTCTTTCCCTGGTCGCCCCTAACTGCTCCCTCCCCACCCCCTCTGCCGGCCTGGTCACCCCACACAGCCTGCTGTTCAGTCGTTTGGTCATCCCTCACTAACCCCCCTGCCGGCCTAGTTGTAGGCAGCCATCTTGTGAGGGCGTGAGAGTTAATTTGCATATTACCTTTTCATTATATAGGATGGGGCAACCGGGGACCAGAAAGGGGCACAGCTGGCCTCAGGTCACTCAGCCAGTTAGGGACAAAGCGGGCACTAGGCCTGGACCACCCACACCCCACCCCAGCTTTGCCTCCCAGTCTCTCTCCGGGCCTCAGACTTTGTTGAGGGGAGACAGGGATGCTGGGCCTGTATAATCCCACAGCACCCCTATTGCCCAGCTGCACCCCCTGAGCCGGGCTCACAGTAAGTAACCAGAATGAAGGTCGCCCCTCAGTTTGCTGAGTCTGTGCCAGGCCCTGTCTTTGCGTGCGGCTTCACACACACCGTCTCGAAATCTCCCAACCAGCTTGAAGGTGGATGCGCGGCCCAGCCCCTGGGGGCCAGGTGCCTCTACTGAAAGCTAAACCCCAGGACCCACCCTCTTCACCCAGCCGAGGGGCAGGCCAGCCTTTCGCCACGTTAAACCAGAGGCAGCCACCAGGCGGCGCCAAGTGGCCGCGTTCCCATCCTCTCCATTAGAAGCAGATGTCTATCCACCTGGAGGGTTACAGCTCCGCACGAGGCTCCTGTGTGTGTAGAACGTCAGCACGTCTTGGAACTGACCACCACCACCTTTTGGTTGGGGAGGGGACAGGCAGGTGCGCGGGAAAGGAGCCGAGAGAAAACGCACCCCTTTCCCCTACTTGGGTCCCTCCAGGTTGCAGGGAAGTGGGATACCGCGGGCCTGACACCCCCCACGCCCAGGGACTCCGAAGGTCTAACCCGGCTTCTGCAGTGACTGCCCCCAGGAGTCACACGACCCTGACCGCATGCTTCTAGGGACAGGGAGCTCCCGCCTGGGTTGACAGCTGTTGATGGTCAAACTTGGTAGGTCTCCAGTAGCGAGGACAGTTCTCTCCCCCGCGATGGACACTCTCACGGCTGACACTGCCCCTGCCAGTTACCCGTCCATAGAGAACCGCAGTCTGTGTTTCTCGTGCCATGTGACACCCGCTGCCAAGTCGGACTGAGTTGGCGCCTCCCTCGTTTTAAGGCACAGACCTCCATAAACAACTCTCTTCCGTGACTCTTCCAGCTTGTGGTTTACTAAGATCCTGCAACGCGAGCTGTGTTACCCAGGACTGGCCCCCAAGCCTCCCCCAGCCCCCCTGTCTCCCT